AAAAATGGGAAAATAGCAAAAAATCAATGAAAAAAAGAAAACTAGAAATAAGAAAAAAAACCAGAAATAAGGGAGAAAAAACACATGCTTTCTTTAATTGGCAAAAAAGTAAAAAACCTTACTGGAAGGAAAGAGTAAATTTTACCTCAGTTGCCCGCACAATCGGCGGACGGAGATATTCCACTGTTACGCGGTTACTTTACCTCCTCTCACCTCCATTTACCTATCTATATTTCCTCCCAAGGGGTATTCAAAAATATCCGATCCGAAATATCCGTCCACGATCCGGACCGATACGATCCGAAAAACGGATATCCGATCCGATATTTTAGCTTTCGGATATTTCGGATCGGATATCCGAAAAAAATCGGATCGGATATGGATTCAATTTCTGGAATTTTTCGGATAATCGGATATCCAATTTTTTTTTTTGCATTATGTTTTTGGAATTTTATGGATATATATTATGACTATATGTTTAAATGTAATTTTATGTTGATTTTGGAACTCAACCATTTTGGACTTTTTACATTAGCATTTTAGAATCTTTTGTTTTAATAGTGTTATTTTTGTTTGTTTAGTAAAAATTACCAAAGTTACTCCCAAATTAAATTTGGTATCATTTTTTTATCAGGCCATTACCTAGTGGTGGAAGTTTTCTTTTAGTAAATCTATATTGAATTTGATATTTTGGGTTGATTTTGCTATTTTACTTTTTTTTTTGTAAATTTTGGCTAAAAACTCAACTTTTCAGATAATCCAGTGATCCGATCCGAAAAATCGGATATCCGAATTTCGGATATCCGAATATTTTCGGATCGGATATGGAATGAGTTTTACGTGATCCGAAATTTTCGGATATCTGAATTTTCGGATCGAATCGGATCGATCCGATTGAACACCCCTATTCCTCCCCCAAACATGGTAAGTTTTAATTTTACCTTGTTCTACCGTCCCCTACCTCCAAATAAAGATAGTGTTATAGATTCTCAAAGAATTCATAAATGATGGATTCTAGTGGATTCTTGAGTGCTTCTTATAAATACAAATCTGGGAACAAATCTTCCGTGGTAACTAGAGATTTTGAAGCCTTATTTGGAACGCAGAAGCTTCTACCTTTTTTCTATTGACTACTGTGCATCTCTCTCATTGGGGATATCCGATCTCCCTTCGCTTGCTGCTCTATTAGGTTCTTTTCTTTCTTCTGCTCTTCCCTGTTGTTTTCTTCTTCTTTTTTTTTCGTTTCCCTTCCTCTGCTCTGTTCTCTGGCACTTCCTCCACTCTGCCCTTTCTTTTGCCTCGCTGATGCTGATTTCTCCAAACGTGGTGTCGCTACCACCGGCGCCGGGCTAAAGCACCGTCTGTCTCTGGGGGAATTCTCCAGACTGAGAGGTTGTTCGCTCGATCTCGCCTTGCCGCTGCTGGGTTCGTGGATCTCTACTGCCTACGCTGCTAACAAGGTTCCGTCGCCGGGGAGCTGCCGTCACATGTTGATGTTGATGGACGACGACACGGTTGCTGTTGTTGGGTCGCCGCTGATTTTGAACTAATGTTTCAGTCTAGACCGAAATCAATTCAGAGTTTATACTCTAGATTTACAAACCAAATTCATACGACGTGCATCGAAAATCTCTTCAGAGTTTTATTTTGGGGTTTCTCAAATTAAACCTGAGATTTCATTCTTAAGAAATTAATGATTATAGTCCAACATTTTCCTAGGCACCCGATTGTATCGGAGGATAAGAAAACAGAAGTGGATGATAAAATAGAGGAGAAAAGCTGCAATAAGATCCAGCAGAGATGAGGATGAATGTGTTCAAATTCATTCGAGCCGAAACGTTAGCAGGCCATTAATATTCTTTTGTAATCAATTTTTTTAATTAGAACAATCTTTAGACATTTTAGAATATAAACAAATCCAAATAATAAAATACATTAAAATCTATGAAAGTTTATATAGAATTAAAATACTCCATGGAGTTTACACAATTTATTGATTTTAAGATTTCTAACATAATCTTTTATAATCTGAATTGAATAGATCTCCCTAAGACTAAATTTGTCCCAATTATGGAGAGTCGTGTAACGGATTTCCTAATCGCCGTTTACCGCGCTACAAAGGAATCGCCAATCACAAACATCACCAAGCTTGGCAGCATCCCTCCTTCTTATCCTATATAAGCATCAACAACTCTCTCCATTTCTCACCAAATAACTCAATTCTTTCTCCTATCATGTTTCTGAGAGTGTGAGGAATGCGGTGGTGCTATCATATTGGTGAGAAGTCGTCGGAGCAAGCCGTAGTGTTCACTGAAAGTTTTCTCGTTCAATCGCTAGAAAATTATCAAAACCTTCATTAAGCTCCAAGGTAAGCACGTAAATATATCTAGTGACTAGAATGTTCGTATAGATCGTTTCTACGTTCATAAATGGTCGTTCGGTTAGTTTTGTGTTTGAAATGTTTGAAGAAACAAGAATCATAAACCTTAAAATTGTTGTTGAGACTATGAACTAATGATACCAAAATGATCTATAAACATTGGAGAACATTTCTATATAGTTTAATAGAAGTTTGGTGAGTAAAAATGATATTTCTAAAAAATGGACAGAAGGAAGATGATGATGAACAGTAACAAAATATTTTGGTGGATCGATCCAAGAGGTTGGATCAATAACCCCAGTAAAAGAACAGAGCACGGTGGATCGATCCATAGGGTTGGATCGATCACCTGGGATTGATCCTGGGTGCCAGATCAATCACCCGAGTTGTCCTACTCGAATATTTTTATGAAAAATGTTGTTTTCGAGCCCTAAAATCCTACTTTTGATACCAATCAATTATCATCAATATAAATATGATTTCTTGAAAAAAATGATGTTTTTGACAAAAAAATCTTATGTGATTATTAATGGTAGGCTAGGGTGTTAACACTCGATGTTAGGCTGGTATTTGTTATTGATGATTATTATTGATTGATGATTATAATAAATATTATTGATTGATGATACTGATGACTAAACTTTAATATTCTGATCATAATGAATGATTAAATCATGACTAAAAATGGACATATTGATGATTATGAAAATTATATGTATTGTTAAGAGTATCTAGAAGAACTCTAAGATATATCTATGTGACCAATTCAAAAATTTAGGGTCAAAACGTATGTACGGGATCCAAACCGAATATCACTGCACCCGCCCGACAATTCACTGTTCGATTAGTATGTGATCCACAAGACTCATAGGGTGGATTATCGATTCTTGTGTTCTGCCTTAAACTATTGCCTTAAGAGCCCGATGAGAAATATTACCTTAGACTATGAATAGTTTAAGAGCTTGGTATCAAAATGATTTGGCCTTAGATTAAGAATAATTTAAGAGCATTGTTGAAATACTGAATATTAAATATTGTATATATAATGAAATGACTTGAATTAAAATATTGTGAATATCATGAATGTTGTGCTTGAATTGAATATTATGTGCATGATATCAAATAATTTGATTATGAATTGAGATTCAATTTATATGGATGTTCAACGCATTATATCTTCTTACTCAGCTTTATCACTGAGCGTTTAATATATTTTATTTGCTACACGCTAGTAAGTAGAAAGAATGATGTGACGTGATCCTGGAGGCAAACAAAGGCGAGATAGTCGAGATGGATGTGATGGTATTGAATTGAGGGACATAAATTAATTACGTTTGTGATTGTGATTTGTTAAGCTTCCGCAATATTGAAAACTCCGTACTCTCTATGTTATGAAAAATATTATTGTGATAAGTAAAAGTGTTTGAAATGTTTTAAACTTTACAATTATGAAGTTAATGTTTTAGTCCGAAAGGGGCTACAGACCTGGACGGATTAGGGTTTTACATATCTCCTATAAGCATATGAGTATTTTTTGTTGTAGAGAATTTGTTCTTGTTCCTAGGGATGAGAGATCCAAGTTTGATAACAGAAAATAGAGTGCATATTCATTGGATATTCAAGGATGAGTTTGAGTACAGGATATGAGATCCACATGATAAAATGTGATTTTGTTTTAAGATTGGACTACTATATATTGTGATAAGAAGCAAGCAAATTCTTCTCCATGCATCAAAATTGATCTAGTTCAATCTCTTACCAGTGTTGTAGTCTTTCAAAATCATGGAGGAGATGTGCATGATCATGCAGAACACACTCATTATGAAGATGATCATCATGATGGTGATGATGATGTTCCATAGTCGCAACCACATTTACAATCACCTCCACCCACTACACAAGAAAAATAGAGTTTAGCCGCATTTAATTTGCCACACTTGACTAAGTGTGGCAATAAAATTTACTCCCTCTGTCCGGAAATATTTTTCCCGTATTGACTTGCCACGCTTATTAAGGAATAGTAAAAAAATGCAAAATTTTTAAAAATGCACATACTATAATTTTTAAATCTCCTTTTATTATTAAAAAAGTACTAAAATAGTAGATTTGTGATAAAATAGAAGGGTATTATTGATATTTATCCTTAAAAAGTATACTAAAAAAGGAAATGGGAAGAATATTTCCGGACGGACCAAAAAAGAAAGTGGGAAGAATATTTCCGGACGGAGGGAGTAACACTTAAAGATTCCCCACATTTATAAGAGTTGTTATACGTAAGGGCAATGCTAGGGGTACACCAACATGGGGTACCCCTAGCTTAATTCTATACGTAATTCCATGTACCCACATAATAAAGTGTGCCAAATGACTTATATATACTTAATTTAAGAAAGTGCATTTAACATATTAATTAAAATAATTACTCTTTAGTAATTTAAATTTTAAAATTACTCACGCATAAAAAAATCATGTCACGCTTCTTCTAATTCAGTAAAAAAACTAATCGCTCCTAACTTTTCATCCTCAGCTCCATTCCGCCCGCCTAAATCTTCATCTCTTAAAACAAACAAAATCTGTAAACCTAATCTCGTTCTCGTTATACTCTCCGGCGCACAATTAACCTAATCAGTAGTACCTTTCTGCTCTCATCTCGTTCTACTCTCCTGCGCACATCTCCGTCGGCCTGCATCTCTCTGGCGCACATCTCAATTAGGTATCGGCCAGCATATTCACGCTGCATCAATCCTCCATCTTACCATTCAATTCGTTCGGCCTGCGATTCATTCAGGTATTTATTTTCTTTTATGATTAATTTTGCTTCTAATTGATGAATTCCTGAAATCCGATGACACCAAGCCATTAGAACACCCGCAGAAGGACCCTACTGTTTCAATGAATTAGATGCAACAACAACGTGCAAAGATGAACGAGAACGGATTGGACCTCTGTGTCGAAAGTAAGGTTTTCAGTTTCAATCTGTCTACTTTTAACCTTAATATATCTCTATTGTGGAATAAAAAAATCAGAATAGATCGACCCATTGGATTGGAATTGAAAGTTGTCTCTATTAACACCTTTCGATTATCTAGTGTATGTGGTAACACTGCATTCTTCTAATTGTTACAGATTCATTGGCTGAGTTGGGTACTTTGGATTTAGCTTTTTCATGTGCATATGTACTTGTTGGTTATTCTACAGTTTTCAAAGTGACTCTCTTTTAGTGTCATGGTAGAAAAATAAATTTGTATTAGTTTAATACACAGATTTGAAACCTGATATGACATCAATTGGAACTTTTAAGATTTTTTATTTGCACGGGGTTCCAAAGCTAGAAGGCAGCATATTCTCTTTGGCACACCGAAGTACTAACAATTCAATCAATGAGGACTCAAACTCTAGGTCTTATATGGGGAGTGGATTCACCTTGTGGGATAAATCTGCTGTGAGCAAGGGAAAGAAGGGGAAGAAGAATATTTTGGTGAAGAGACACGTTCTGGAGGTAATGACATTCATATTTTCACATTGAAGATTAGTTTGTGTGCTAAAAGGTTTTCTAAAGCATTGCTTCTGGAATTTGATGAAATATGTTTGAAATGTTTTACAACTATAACTGGATAGAAACATGTGTCATTGCAGTAGGATAGCAGAACACGTTATGGAGTGGCCATTGGTATCATCATCCAATCATAGGCATAGCACGACAACTATCAATTCCTTATTTTCCTGACCGTGAGTTAACAATTCCACTGCTCTCTCACAATGTCATTTCATAGTAGATTTGTTTCACTTATATACTCTCCAATCTTGTAAATAATTGACTGCTTAAAACAACTACAGTATCCTACATATGTTAGCCTTAGCTAAAAGTGCTCAAGAAGAGCATGCATGATTTAGGAGGTGGAGGATTTGCACTCAAGAATGTGCCATCACCTCACCCAGAAGGTTTTTGTTTTATTTTTTGTTTCTTTGCTCTACTTAAGTGGCGTTAAGTAGTAGTTCATGGACATCATTGATGGTTCTTGTAATCGTTGTCTTTCTTTACACACAAGACCTTTCTGGTAAAACTGTTAGAAAATTTAATAATTAGAAGCCCAATACTCCACACTCTAAACACTCATTAACAGACCTACATAGAAGGAGAAAGATAAATGAAAGACAAATTTTACAATACTTACCAGAGATACTATTCATTTACTAGTAGTTAGTAATTTAGCCTACTTCAAAGAATCTGGCCTTATCGCGTTGCATTTCAATTGACTCTGCATATCATGTTTTTTATTCATATATGCTTTTGTTTGATATTTGGCTACTTTGATATTTTTAAAATGGACAAGATATGAGAGTTGGAGTATTAATCTCTACCTTGATATTTACAAAATAATATTAGGGAGTCCATCTCTATATTATGGGTATTATGTAGTTTAAGCCAGAGAAGATACTAAGGTATGAGAGATCATACCGAGGCTGGGAGCATGAACAAGTTTCCATGGGTAATTCTTTTGTATATTTTGTGTTCTATATCAACTATTTATACTTTTTTCTTTATATTAGTGTTTCATTTGTTGTTCTTGTGAAACAGAACCCAAACAGGTGCGCAGGCTGGATATTGAATACTGAATACACCATATTCCAGTCTTGGTATTTTTCAAGCATTTAGGCAATGGATTGGAGTTAGAGTATTCTAGATGTGAACTTTAGTGAGCTAAAATTACTCTTCAAGTTTTCACATCCATCTTTAAATTCAAATGGCAGACCACTGTTTTGGAATTGTTTATTGAGTAGTTGATTTGGCATAGAATTTTTCTAAAATTTTCAACATCTGCTACAATGGAGTTCTGAAAATGAGCACTGCACTCCTGGTTCTTAAATAGGGACTTTGAGATTTGTTGTGATGCCGAGTGCAATTACAATTGACTGATACTTTCATCACATCTTATTGTTTTCTTTAGGTTTTAAACAAGAATGTGGTCGTGCATTGGAGCACAACACATGCTCTGTCAAAGTCAAGCTATTGGGAGTTTTGATGATTACTAATTTGTTGTTCATTGTGTTTTTTCAGAAGCATTTAGCAAGGGTTGCTTAATTGGTTACTTTGAGATGTTGTGGTGTATTACTCTCCTTTTAATTATAAAAATTTTCTTTTCTTTAGAGTGTCGTGTGTGAAAATGCCATGCATATTAATTACTTGAACCAGTTTCATAGCCTATTAACTCAATGGTAGAGTGTCGTGTGCAAGAGTGCACGGAGATGTGGGTTCAAATCCCACATAGGCTTTTTATGAATTTAAAATATTAAAAACCATGCTCGTGCATATAGTTTTTTTTTAAAAAAATGATATTTGTGACACTTATATGTGTGGTGCCTTCCCAACACATGTAAGTGTTGCGAAAAAAATTATTACCCGCACATATTAAGTGTTGTTAAAATATTAATTAGCCACACTTATCTAAAAGTGTGGCTAAAAATTACCCACAGTTACGTAGCCGCACTTAGGTCATGTGTGGCAAAGTGTTTTTCCCACATTTATAAGTGTGGCGAACCACCATTTTAAGTGCGCCAAAATACCAAATTTCTTGTAGTGACCACCTCAGTTGAAAAAGTATATCGGGGCTAGAAAGCCTTCCATAAGACTTTCATTGGATGAGCATGTGTTAGTCATTGATGTTGGAAAGTGAGAGGCATTTGATGAAGCTATTTGTCACATGTGTAATAAGAGAAATGATATCATGTCATACAAGATGAGATGAAATCTTTGTATGAGAATCATACATTTGAGCTTGTAGAGTTGCCTAAAGGTAAGAGAGTACTTGAGAACAAGTGGGTATACAAATTTAAGTGTGATTATAGTGACTCACAAGTAAAAAATAAGGTAAGGTTGTGAAGGGTTTTAGTAAAAAAAAATAAGGGCATAAACTTTGATGAGATATTTTCTTTGGTTAGGAAGATGTCCTCGATCTCCTTGATTTATACTTAGCTTAACTGTTAGCATAAGTTTGGAGTTAAACTCTGCAGCTTTATGTGAAACAATATCTCTTCATGGTGACCTCGACGAGGAGATCTACATGAAACAACTTGAAGAAAAGTTAAGTGAAAGAATAACTTGGTACACCGTTTGAAGAAAAGTTTGTATGGGTTTGACCAAGTACCTCGGCGGTGGTATACAGAATTTGAGACATATATATGGTTGATCATGGCTTCCAAAAAACACATTCGTATCATTTTATCTTTGTGAAGAACTGCTCCGAAATTGATTTTCTTACTATCGTTTTATATGTGGATGACATGTTGATTGTTGGCCACAAAGAAGATTGTTAGCTTGAAGAAATCATTGAGTAAGTCCTTTACAATGAAGGACTTAAGTCCTATTAAAGAGATTCTAGGCACGAGGATCACTTGTGATAGAAAAAACAAGAAGCTTTAGCTATCACACGAAAAATACATTGAGAAAGTTCATGGTAGATACATTGAAAATGGTGATAGCTCGTAGCAATCGTGACGATAATAACTAACTAGGAAGGCAGTGACAGATCATGAATGTTACTCTGTAGTTTTTTATGAATTGTAATCTATTTTGTATTTTAATTTGTAAGTAAATATATTTTGAAAATGAATAAATGTTACATTTGAGGAGTTAATGCTTGAGATCCTATTTTGTTCTAGTGATGTCTTTACCCTTTTTTTCTTCTTCATGTTAAAGATGACGATTATTGATGTTGGTTGTTGTCGACTCATGCCAATGTCGATCTATGGCTAAGCGATGAATGGAACGAGAATGAAGTTCATATCAAAGCACGAAGGATAATATAGAAAATCAATTTGTGAGAGTTTGAATAATAATACTACGTATGAGATATTGTGAAAATCTCAATCAAGTATCTATAAATCATTTTAAGATTCTTCGAACTAATTTAGGATTCCTCGTCTTGACTTGCCAAATGTGCCCTTACAATATTGATTTTTTATAAAAAATCAAAAAAGGAAAGTGATTTATTTATAAACAATCAAAAAAGAAAAGTGATACAATTTTTGTAACAATGATGAAGTTTATCAAAACTACGTCGTTTTTATGTGCCTTAAGACATTCTTCCATCCAGGCGAACTCCGGCGCTCACCATCCCATCAAACCTCGGCCCCCTCCTGCTTCAGCGATTCTCTCGGTTAGTCGATGCGGCATGCGGCACAACGCCTAAGCGCACCACCGATCTTAGCGTCGAATTGTATACCGAGGTCTGGCCGCGGCTGTCGGCCGTCAGTCATTCACGGCCTCACTGATTCAGCTGCGAAGGACCAGCGTCACCTGTCTCCGTCCATATTTCAGATCGTCATTTGCAGTTGAGGGCTTATGCTTATCATTGTTTATTTTCCCCAATTTTAAACATTTCTTAGTTGGTTCCTAATTTAAGTAAAAAATCATAATTTGGAGAAATTAGGGTGCCCAAGATGGGTTTGATCATAGACACAATTTCACACATATGATTTCTCATATGTCTGAATTTTGACACCATTTTGGGCACCCTATGTTTTCCAACTTGGAGGCCAATAGAGAAATTAAAACTATTTAAACTTATGTTACCTTTCTCTCAGTATTTGCCTAGTTTTGATCTTTTGAAATCGATCGTTTTCGACCTTTGACCTATAATTAAATAATTTTTTTGAATTATATTGATTAGAAAAAACAATATTTTGTAAATACTATATAAAACGAATCTAATAATATTATTTTTATATCAATATCTAATATCAATTTTATTTAAATTGGGAATAGACTATAGTAGTAGTGAAACATAGAAAATATACCAAAATAGGAGTTCCATGTTTTTATTCTCAAAATAAGAGTTAAAATGCATATACAATGCGAATCATGCCAATGTATAATACCAAAAAATACTGTTAAGTGTCCATATATAGTGCCACATTATCACAGTGAAAATTCTTATTTTGGGGATAAAAACATGGAGCTCTTACTTTGCTACTTTCTCTATGTTTTACTCCTATTTAGGGTGATTTTTTTTATTTAATTAGTAGTTAAAGTTTGTCAATTTTGACAGCAAAAGGTCAAAACTGGACAAATACTCAGGCACGGAAAAATGATACAGAGTATTAGTTTTGAATTTTGAAATGAAAGTGTTTGGAGAGATTAGAAAGGATGGTTAGTAATGATGAGTGGCCAACGACAATGGGTGGTTGGTGGTGGCGACCGGCGGGGTTGGGTGGCATCACTGGGTGGTGGTCGGCGATGGGGGTAGCTAGCAACATTGGGTGGCCGGATAGGGTTGGCTGGCACCGGGGGTTGGTCTACATCAATTGGTGGTTGGCGGCTTAGTGTGGCCAGTGATGAAGTGATCATCTGGTCAATGATGATGGTGGTCCACAATGGTGGCCTCCAATGGTGATTAGCCAACAAGAGTGAGTTGCCAACATCTAGGGGTGGTCGGCGGTGCCGCAATGGCAACCAACAACGATGGGTGGCCGGTAGGAGTGGGTAGCCAGCTGTGGTGGCAAAAAATTGAGGGAGATACCGAAACCCCCAGATTGATATACTTAAATTTGGAGATATTAAAAAACCTTCATTTGGGAGGGTTGTGATATTGAGAGATTAAATCTGAATTTTGTTTAGATTTTACCAAGTAAGTGTAAAAGGGTTATGATATCAGGAAATTTCTAAACCCATACGGGCCCTTATGCTCCATTCTTATTTTTCCTAAACTAAAAGAATGCTGTGTTTGACTCTTGGATGCATGCTACATCCATTTCCTTACACTATAAGCTATGCTAAGTCACATTTTTCACATGAAAATTTCAAAATACCTCCATTATTCATTTAGTTGGAAACTTAAGAATGGCTTTGATACTGGGAACATAAACACAAACAACCTTGGTATGTGAATGTAATCCAGTTTTAGTGGTAACTAAGGTGGTGAATGACAACTCTGATGAGAAATCATGTCTTGCCCTTGATTTAGGAATTTCACATAGATTTCTGCATAGTGCATAATACTAATAAAGTGAAGGCATACTATAATAATTTGATCACTCATCAGTAGAGGAGATAAAGATCTTTTTTGATCAAGAGACTTAGAATAGAGGTATGCCTCATAGAGTCACAGAGCGTGGGATGAGTAGTTGGTGTTTGAATTGACAATTTTAAACCTTCAAGGTAGATGATCTAAAAGGAGTTTTTACATATTAGGTCCATATAGGGTTGTGTTAGTGGAGTAGCTGTGTGTGCGGGTGCTTTGCGCTCGTGTGACTTAGGGTAACTGGTTTAGTGGTCCTCTTGAGAAATGTTTCTTTACTTCTCGAAGTAAAGGTATGATTTGCTTTAACTTTTCTCTTGCATGCTTGCATTTTTTTCGTGTGAGAAATACTAAGCATGTATGGGTTGATTTGGTTTGCTCTCGTGATGCCATTTTACCTCAACAATACTTGATTCGTGCCATATTCAATATATTAGGTGGTGTGGTAGGATTTTGAAAATTTAGATTCAATGGAGCATAGATCGTGATTGGTGACTTGTATTTTGGTTTTATAAATAGTGATGGAGTTTTTTTTGAAAGCAAGTCTTCTGTATGAGCCTTTTAGTGAACCTAGTGTTGAGCAACTGATGTTGAGCCCACTAGCAAACCTAGTATTGTCCCCCACCCTCTCTCTATTTAAAATATTTTTAGGGGACCATTTTTTGAGTTTCTAAAAGTATCACCAATTTCATTTCACATTCTATGGTTTATGTCCATGCTAACTACATTTGTTTTGATATTATCTGTATGAAATAACAAGTATGTGCATAACAAACAGGATTGGTGACATTTATGAAACAATTTATGTTTCTAGGGGCAAAGGATTTTGCTACAAAATGTGGAAGGACAATCACAATTTAGTTTTTGGGTGTGGTGGCGAAGAAGAGATTACTCGGTGACAAACATATGCATTTTAACAGGTTTTTATCACATTGCATGAACATATTTGTGTACATATGCATGTGTATGTGTAGGTGGTGTTCCATGCCCATGCCACAAGCTAGATTCCGCCATATCCTTTTTATGGACTATGGACTCTACTGTAGGCATGGCAGTTTATGCAATTTTGAGTATAAAGATAATCTAGAATCAATCGGAGTTCTATTTATCCTATATCTTGGGTAAAATTGGTTTCTATATCTTCTCAAATTCTCAAAAGTACTCAACTCTTTGATTCTTAAGAATTATCTTATTCTTAAATACTCCTTTAAGTCCTTTTGTCCTAAAATTGACTTGCTCACTTTCCGTTTGGGCTGTCTTGGGAATAACTTCCTATTCTATTTAAGGAAAGGCTTGAATGGTCCACACAATTTGTGCATAAATTCTAATGACATAATTTTACAATTTTTAAAACTCTATTAAAAAGCAAATAGAAAGTTTAATTTTAGTATTATTATACACTAAAATAATTTTATGTTGTGTTGTACCGCTCAATAATGACCCAAAAATAAAGTTGGCATTATTATTTCAAAAATAATAATCGATCACTGTATTATATGAAAGAAAAAATCACCAAAATAAATACTCCATATGTAAGAAAACCAAAATTCAAATTAAAAAGAATTCATCATTATCTGTGTTATAAAGGTTGTTATATTCGTCATAAACAATTAGAAGTTACATAATAGTCATTTCACACATTCATTTGTTTTACATACTTTAAATATGTACGCCATAAAAATAGTCTTTGAAAATGTTGATTGTATTCCTAAAAAACTTTATATTTTGTCGCTAAACAAGCAAAAATGAGTAAATGACACTACATCGTAAAAAATTTTTTATCTTGTCTCTAAACAAACAAAATGTTTTGTAATTTTTTTGTTAAGTATATATGTAAGTATAGTCTTTTATAACAAACCAATGAATTTAATTATAAGTATTTATAATAAAGTATTTAAGAAACTAAAAGTTAATACAAGTTATTGTCGTTTCAATGAAACATAATTATTTAATATTTCAAAATTACATAGAAAAATATATAATATATTAATTCATCCAACTTATATTTTATGTTGACTCTATATTGGTAACTTAATTTTTTTTGGAGACATAAGAGATAATTTTTAATTTAAATTGTGACACTACTTCAAATTTTTTATTATTTTATTGGCATTGATAATGATGATGATGATAATAATAATTTTAAGAAGAGTAATATGAAAATCACATCTAATAGATTTTTTTAATGTCATTGTTGGAAGAAACTGGAAGGTGTTAGAAAAAATTAGAAAGAGTTGGAAAAAATGGGTAGGAGTTGGAAAATAGTGGAATTCATTTTTTCTAATCCAAAAGAATCGACGCTTAGTATCAACATTGGGAACAATGGATGAAATTTGCTTTAATTTTAACTTTGAGCATTCCCAAGCCCTAGAATTTGTCAATACACACAGAGCCTTGTGGAGGAGCAACTGACAATGAAGAAATTTGACAAAAACCTTTGATCATATATGAGAATAAAAAAGTGGCTCGGAGCAGTGGGACTCCAAACACTGCAGCAGTTGTGTAGACCCAACCTCTCATCTCTGTTAGTATGCTGATTTTCTCAGCGTCTGATGCTAAGAAGACCCACTTCGTTGGATATTTGGATCAAACAGTATTAACAATTTATTGAGCATCTAGGAATACCGTGTACTGCACTAGTCAAGGAGGCCTCACTCCATTTATCAGGTGATGCTCAATCATGGATAGATAATCGGTGATGCTCAATCATGGAATACCGTGTACTTCGGGAATATTTGTGTGTCATGCACCACAAGCTTTGGGCCTCCACTCTGCTCTTATCTGGAAGGTGGTTTGGTAGATTTGAAATTAATTGGCACTGTTGTGGGGTATACTTCTGAGTAACATTGATTTTTGGCTTGAGCCACAGACATATCTACTCGCCTCCAAGTCCAACTTCTTACAAGTCTGTGAGATAATATTTGGATGGGATTGGAATGGCTCACACTGGGGAAGTTGGATGTGTCATTTAATCTAGCCATGAGCATAACAAGGAAATAACACAGAAAAGCCAACTTTATTCATGTCTCATCACCTAACAAACCATTCTAATATTGCTCATTTAAAACCCATAACACTCTAAACTCTTCATAGGGCCTCGTGACCTCACATTCAAAATCATTACAAGCTCTATTTCAAGAGATTGATTCATGGAGACAGCATAACATAAGACATGCCAACAACTTGTGCTAATTGTGATGGAATTAGGTCGGCTACATCATTGCAAATGCTTGTTCTTAATAGATGTGGAGGATGGAGACACAAATGATGCTCATGAGGAAGCAACTTGGAGACTTCATTGAATCCCATGATCCCATCTCCAGATGGAAACACTATTTGCTTATTTAAATAATGACAACTTCATGTACCATTCTTTAGTTGTGGAACCTAGATTGTGCACTCAAGGAGTACACAACTTCTGGTACCACTCCTTGGTTGTGGAACCTAGATTGCAAGTACATGCTCTTCCCGGTCTGAAGTGGTGGTAGACAGTGCTGAGACTTGAGGGAACTGAGATACAAGGAGGATGCAAATGTCATTCGCAATTGGTGGATGCACATATATAACAAGTTTCTATCTACGGTCTAGAGTTCTAGACCTCGTTGCAAAGGGATCATGAAGAGGAAGAAGATTGTTTGGACTTTGCAGTGCCTTGGCCTATGGTGTTAGAGAGGAAAATTGATTTGACCTTGTCAAAATCTTATTGGATTTAATGATTCCTTTGTCTTTGTACCAAGAATGATTATACATTCAATAATTTCAATGCTAGTTCAGCTATTACACGAAGTGCTAAACAAGCTTTACTATGCATAGATCATTAATTAAAAAAAAGACAAGCACATAGTAGGAACTCATGTTCTGCATGATCTCTCCCGCTGTGATCTGTTGTGATTATGCTTCTTGCTAAAAAAGATCCATAGTAATTTCCCTTGCTTCTCTTTTAGATAATAGCATTGAGGCATTCTCTGTTAGATTTAATCGGGTTTGTTTACATATAACCAAATGGGTAATAAGACAATTTTAGGTCAGTTAGTATGGTGTCGGTTAGTGTGTTTTACATATTTAATTAATTAAAAAAAACAGCTGGGTAGTTTCTAAAAGCAGTTATGGCCTATGGGTAGTTTCTAATGTTAATAGGTGTGTTGGTTTGTAATGGTTGTGTTGGTTAGTCCTCTATTTATATGTATGGACAAATAATTCTGGATAGCAGTACCACAACAAAACACTCTATATACTCCAGATCTGATATTTTTCTCTCATTCTCTAAATTTCAGTTTTTGCTCTATTATTCCCTTTTCTGCCCATTAAATTAAAAGTGGGTGGTGCAATCACTTTTAGGTGCTAACTTTCAATGGATATAGGAGTTGAGACACATGCTATATTGCTATGTGAACAAAGTAGTTTTTACATCCTAAGCAATGTCGTTTAGTTTCTTTTAGAATTGATTTTATCATGTAGACCCTTTATGATAAAGTTCAACACTAATTTTATTGAAGGATTTGAAAGCTGTGTTAAGAAATTTGCAGTGTTAACAATGCCACCCAATACAAGAACCAGAAAAGCCTACAAAGCTATGAAAGATATGGGAATATCCGAAGGTTTTGTGAAACCGGCATTGAAAAATCTTTTGAAAATATATGAAAATGACTGGGCACACATTGAAGAGGAGAATTATCGAGCACTTTCTGACGCGGTCTTTGAAATGGCACAACCAAAGGTTCAACACTTCTTTTATTCTCATTTTCTATTCACCCATTTCCTAATACTAATGGGGACTAAATTTTCATTTACCCTTCTTTTCTAAGTATTGGCTTTTATACGTCATACGTGTCATTAGCATGATGTGAAAAAGAGTATGAGAATTGTGAGGCAATGAGTTTGTTTCTTGTTTGTTTCAATTGCTCCTTCGATTATTTTCAAATATATTATTCCCTCCATCCACAAATTTTAAAAACTACATAAAAAATTCTACAAAACAAGAGGTGACATGACTATAATATATTATGAAATGACTATTGAAAATAAGCAAACAAAGAAGAAAATATTTGGACGGAGGGAGTTTTTATGGGATTTTCTTTTACCCTTCTTTGTCATCTAATGTGGGCTAGATTTTCTTATAACCATCTTTTATAAATTCTTGCTTTTCTCATTATGTTACACTTCAAAACCAGAAATATGTATCTTATTCATTGCATTCCTCTAAAATAAACAAGGACAAATACACAAGGACAGAGGTAGTATGTATTATTACTAATCCAGAGATGATATGCTACTTGTAACTCAATTTGCGCCTCGCGTTTGTGATGCGCCCTCCTCAATTGCGCAATGTGCATCGAGGCTTCAGTCTTCAGAGCGCCTTTGTGCATCGGTACACATTGTGTCTTTAAAAACTTTGTTGGGTGCTAAGGTTTATGAAAATGGTTATGGGCATAATGGGTTCGTGGTTTCCCCAATGCCGGATTTTGCCCCTAAATGGTGCCGGTTTACAGCGACAAACTGAAGAACAAATTTAGAGACTTGAAGCGACATCAACTATAGTCATGAAGCTATGTAATGCCTGAATTTTTTCTAACCAGCTTCTGTTAGATATGGTAGCTGCATGAAAATGTGATAATTAAGCTCTAAATTTAATTTAAATATTTATTTATTCCAATCAATTTTAAATCTTACATCGGTATGTTCTGACGTTTAGGATGATTTACAAGACAAAGTTGAGTAGATGTATTCATGTATTCAATGAAGATTTTCATGATTTATTGTGTGGAATTTTGTTATGGTAATTAAGCAATTTGATTATAGAGTAAGCATCAATGTGTGGGCGTGACCTCTATTCTCATATAATAATCCTCTCCAGGAGATCTCTTAATATATTTCATATAAATCAAATGATTGCATTCCAATTGCTTCCACTTCATGGGTAAACAAATCACTTACAATGCCACCCACAATGCTATCTTTGGTCTAGTTATAACGAGATAGTTCTGTTTTGACAAGTTTCTTGTATCGTTGCGGAAGGAGTTTAAGATTTTGATTCACGTGAGCGTTTTCTGGTTTGCAATTCAGCAGTTCCTTCCAACATGTCTAATGTATATTTTAAGTGCATATGGAGACCCTGTTTTTGGACTGGCAACCTCAATACCAAGAAAGTACTGTAAGTCAGTAGTCACGGATTCTAGGTTTGAATGTGATGAGACAAATGGTATTTGAGATTTGATAATTCCTTCAAAATCATTACCTGGGACAATAATATCATCCACACATACAACTTTTGTTGTAATTTGTGAGGACTAGTTGACCGGTGACTGTGAAAGGCCGTGAAAAACCTACAACGGTCTGAAAAATACTCTGAAGCATTTTCAATTTATAAAGTTTCTGACTGGCAACCTAAAAAATGAGTAAACTTTTCCACAATATTTTTGAAGGATAGTGAACAATTCATACCTTCCTTTTATTAAAAGTAACCAAGTACTACGATAGAAATCATTGGTGAATGTAAGCATCAAATATTGAAAGGAGAAGTTACTTGACTAGGACCCCAAATTCCAAACATCAGAATGACTTTCTCAATGTCATTACTAGGTTTTCAGGCACAAGAGGTCTGAGAATAGTGTAGTGTGGTTGTTTCTCGTTTCTTTTCTCTGCTCCCTTTTTGGTGCTTTTCAAATGTGTAACTTTTAGTTTTCTCGAATTCCTTTTCTTTTGCTCTTGACAGACCTCTTGCTTTTGTAGGTAGGAGCTTTGGAAGAAGAAACTTTATCTAAGGAGCCTGAGCAACCACGTAAGAGACAGCGGTTACAATCTAAAGAAGATGAGAAGTCACCTTTCAACGACGCCAGCTCCAAATTAGCTGAGGCATCCTCAAATAGTCATAAAGTGAAGGATCATGTTGTATCTAATGATTGTTCCACCAGTGTCTCACCCGACATGGTGGGTTCTCATCAGGCTAGTCATGGAGAGAAGGCTCTTCAGGTTCCTTTCTTATCACGCACATGTGGTAGAAACAAAGAAAAGGAACCCATTTCACCCAAATCTTTGGGGTTGCCAGATAAATCTGTTTCAACTCAGCATCATGCCTCTAGGAGAAATATGTCCAATGCATTGAAGAATTCTGGACCAAAGTCTAGCTCTCATCCAATGCGTCTTAGGGATAGACAGATAGAACTTCAAGCTCTTAATTCTGCATCCAGGAAAAAGACATCAACACATGCACTTTCCTCTCATGCCTTACCCCTTCAAGAGACAAATGCTGATACTTGTGTTGCTCAATCCCAAGAACAGAATACTTCTGGTACTCATGCTTTTAGAAAGCACAAGGATGAGACAATACTTGATGAGGTGTCTGATTTCAAGGTTCCAATTGCTGTTTTTCCTCTTGGTAATTAAGCTTAGTATTATTTGCTTATTTTCTTTTGTTGATGATGAGCTAATACAATACTCCCTATGTCCCAGAATAAGGCTCCGCATTTGACATCACACTGTTATTATAAAAGGTGAAATTGTGTGGTTGAGGTTTATGCCATGGAGAGAAATAATATGCTTCCCTTTAAAGGAAAGTGACTTTATTTGGACAAACTAAAGAGAAAACTTGGAAGCATTTTCTGGGACAGATGGAGTAAATTATTTGGGGGGAAACCTAATGTGGCAATGTTATGTTCATCAGAGTCATCAGATGATGATGATGGTGGTGGTGGTGTTCGATGTGAAAACGGTTTTCTTGTAGATTCCAGTGGGGCAAAGGATGGAACCAACTGTAGAGCAACATCTTCCAATGAAATGAAAACCAATAAGAAACCGGTAAGGATAAAAAAGTGTATTTCAATATGACCTTGAAATGGATTTATCTGTCTTTAAGGAAAAAAATAAAAAATCTTAATAAACTGTGACCCTTCGGCATGAAGTCTTAGGGTCAGGATGGATCAAGGTTTTGAAGGGGGGGTTGAATGCTAAGTCTTTAACTTGATAAAGTATTAATTTTTAAAATAAAGGAATAACATAATGGGTGATTATGTAATATTTTTTTCCCCCTTCATTCGTTTTTAAAAACATTTTAGTTTTCAAGATATAGACTAAATCCTTTAAAGCCTTTTCCTCCAAAGCTTCTGAAAAACCTCTATCCAAAATGGCAATTTCTCTCCATTTGCATAGTCTAGAAGATGTACTTATCTTGGGTGGAGAAAGTGTCTGGAGTCATACAAATCTAGACCCAAACTTTTATGGGATGAAACTGATGATGTGACATTTCATATGGGAATTGGGGATAACTCTTCAATTTGAATGCAAAAAGCCAGCAAACATGGCTTCTACTAATCTGTTGAAAGCATATCCTTTGAAAATTGCAATTGATTTTAGATGCAGGCCTCTGGGTTCTGAAGACGAATCTATCAATTCTCATGTTGATGGTGGTTTGGTTCTTGTGCAGATACATCAACTTTCTACTCGCAATGGTGTGGGTGACAGAGCACGACCTAAAGAAGATGCATCTAGGAACAGCGACTTTGATGTTATTGAAAATGGTCAGAGTGTTAGTAAACAGATGAATCCTCCAAGTCCAGAGGTTGTGGAGTCACTTCAGTTACCTTTAGATAATACGAGTCCTTTAACTGAGGTTATTGACATTACCAAGAAGCAAGAAAAAATGATGATTTCATTAGTCAATGAAGTTAATAACAAGCGCCCTCCATCCTTCCACTACATTCCGGATAATACAATATTCCGGAATGCGTATGTAAACATTTCCCTGGATCGTATTGGGGACAACCATAGTTGTTTGACTTGTTCTGGGGATTGTTTATTGTTGCCCATACCCTGTGCTTGCTCATACGAAACAGGGGGTGAGTTTGCATACACAAAAGAAGGACTTGTCAAAGAAGAGTTTCTGAAAGAGTGTATTTCTATGAACCGTGACCCAGGAAAACATTGCCAATACTACTGCACTCAGTGCCCACTCGAAAGAGCTAAAAAAGATGGCGTTCATAATCCTTGCAAAGGCCATCTAGTGAGGAACTTCATCAAAGAGTGCTGGAAGAAGTGTGGATGTGATTTGCATTGTGGCAATCGCGTAGTACAACGAGGAATAAGCCGAAAGTTACAGGTAAGCTATTGCAGATAAGTGGCACTCTGGAATTACCATGAATTTCACATGTATTCCTAATGATTGAATTATTCCAATGTGTTCAATTTTTTAAATGTGAATTCAATATAGTGCCTAACACATCCTCTAGAGTTGTGCTCTAATTTCTCCAACCCGTTGCACCAATTTTGCTTCATTTAATATATTTTCAGGTCTTTATGACACCTGGAGGGAAAGGGTGGGGCCTGCGTACTCTCGAGGATCTGCCAAGAGGTGCTTTTGTTTGTGAATATGTGGGAGAGGTTCTCACAAATGCCGAACTATTTGAGCGTGTTTTAAAGAGCTCTAGTACTGAGGAACACTCCTATCCCGTGCTGCTTGATGCTGATTGGGCGGCTGAAGGTGTGTTAAAAGATGAAGAAGCTCTGTGTTTGGATGCTACTTATTATGGGAATGTTGCAAGGTTTATAAACCACAGGTGAAACTCCTATATAAGGGGCTGTGTTGGTCATTTTGTTAGTTTATTGGGGCTGTGTTGGATATAAGTGTGTACATGTTTTAGTGCAACAAAAATCCAAGGTAATCCCTCAAGTAGGGGTACACAGATTTTATCTTCACCCATGAGAGGGGGAGAGGCTGTTTCCTATAGACCCCCGCTCAAAAGAGATGAAATCAAAGTAGGTTAGCAAGAAAGTAAGCAAATACAAAAATATAAATAAATAAATACTCCACTAGCAAACACATACCACGACACTACAATACATAATTTTAGCAAATGTTGTTGATTATTTGCAGATGTGTTGATTCAAATTTGGTTGAGATACCTGTTGAGATAGAGACCCCAGATCATCACTACTACCATGTATTGAATCTTATCCTTTATGATTCGGTTTACTTCATTTCATGAGCCACATATCTTTCATTATTGCTGTATTTCATGAGCCAGATTTTTCATTTTTGCTGTACTATAAGTTGATTGTTCCTTTTGTTTGTTACACGTGTTTCTTTTTCATACAGCTTGCCTTCTTCACCACAAGAGTAGTTAAAGCCAGGGAAGAGCTGACTTGGGTGAGTTGAAGCCATGTGTACTCTATTAGCATTAAGTATATATGCATATATCATTGAAGCAATAATTTATTTGAAGTTATTGGCATATGGAGCAATAACAAAGTGTACTGCAGACTATTTGAGTCATGAAAAGGGTTCACAAAATTAAAATATTTTCCTTTGGAAAGAGGCCCATTGGATTTATAAAAGATGGCTATGGTCATGTTGCATGGTGTTAATTTTACAATATCAATCATGTAATGTGACATGTCCACATTGTATATTTGAACTCAATTGCTTGCCTCGTAACATTTTCCATTCTAGTGGGAAAGCAATGATGATGACGGTTTCGAAACTACCCCTGTAACCCTCCTAAACTGCCCCTGCCCCTGCCACCACCACACCCTCCCCTTCGCCGATTGGCTACAACAACTACTGTAGCCAATCGACGAAGGGGAGGGGGTGCAGGCGTGGGGAGTAGGGTTAGGGGGTAAGAACCATCAATTTTTCAAACAGAGCACCATAGGAGGCTCGAGTCATGCTATGACATTGGGTTCAATGCCATTTGAACCGCACCGTGTTATTAGATAGCATTTTCAAAGCACTGAAGCTATTGTTGTCAAATGGGCAACTAGTTCCACACTCTAGCTCACCTAGAGGAAGTCTTGCACAGGAAAACTCGTTATGCCTAGCATTGGGTAAATAATAGACTAAATCAGAATGGTACCTTTTCTTGCTTCTTCGTTTCTATGATGTTTTGGGCAGTAGATGCATTAGTGCATATGATTTTTTTTCCGTTAATCTTACAAAACATTTACATTTATGTTGTGTTTTCAGGATTATGGAATAGATTTTCGTGATCGGAAGCACCCAATCAAAGCATTCAAATGCCAGTGCGGGAGCAGGTTCTGCAGAAACAAGAGACGTTCTAGTAAGTACCAAGAGAAGGGATAATGTGCTCCCTTTCCATTTAGTTCCCCCTACAACTCATTCCTATCCACTTTCTCTTTTACACTGGTTAGACATTCTTTTGGTAACACGCATGGTTTGTTATGTTTTAGGATTCAAAACAAGGAGATGAAAACATGTTCGGCGATCATATCATTGCCTTTGCAAAACCGGTGAACCTGCCGTTGAAACATTCTGGTTTCGCTGCATCTTTTTCGTGGATATGTCATGGTTTTTTTTCTTTTTTAAATATTTATTTCTTGGTGTTGGGTAGGCTACATGTTTACTTCATTCTTTATTCTAGTTGTTGCACGCTGTGTGTGTATAATAATCACCTCTAATTTTTATATCATAGAACTAATAAGAGCACTTGCATCAAAGTGCTAAACCTACACACCAAGAACAAAATAAAGCTTGCGGAAGAATCTGATCAAGATTTATTATAGTAATTGATATTTGTGAATCATTATTTGTTAATTCAAACTCCCATGCACGTCAAATCTATATTTTTTTACAAATGAATTCTCCTTTTCTTAATCGCTTTATTCTAACTAGCATTTCACCCGTGCGTTGCATGGGGAAATGCAAAGTATAGTTTGTTAGATTATTTTTGGATATAAATTTAATTTAAAATTATGTAAATTGTGTGTTACAGCTAACCGATGTCATTATTTAATTGATAACATACTTTATGTGTTAAGTATAATTTTTTTTAAGATGTAAGTTAAAGAAAATACATGTAAAGAATTAGTGAATATAGTGTTTCTTGAAATAGTTGTGATGCGTAAATAGTTGTTTGTAAATGAATAATATAATTTAATAATTAATTTTGATGAGTCATTAAATGGAAATAGAAGTATTCATTATAAACTAAATATATTGGATAAATGCAAAAGTACAATGTACTTAAACAATAAACTTTACAAACTGTAATTAAATGTTTTGGAAAACTTCTTTGTATATAACATTGGTAGTCTTGTAATCAGGCTTATCTGTATCGTTACATATCAAAATCTTCAACCACGAACGGCTTCTAACCCTTGACATGGCAACGTACAATTGTCCACGAGTAAAGACCGGTTTTTTTAATAAAATGTCAATCTTGGACAGTGATTGCCCTTGACTCTTATTTATGGTCATCGCATACGAAACCATAATAGGGAATTGTTTCCTTTGAAGCTTGAATGGCAACCTTGTATCTGACGGTGTTAATGTAATCCTAGGAAGCAATATGTTTTCACCAGCCTTACTTCCAGTTATAACTCTTGCCTGTAAAACATGATCTCCAAGTCTTGTAACAATTAGTCTTGTTCCGTTACACAAACCATTAGCATGGTCTATATTGCACATCAGCATTATGGGTGTGCCAACCTTTAATCTAATTTCATGATTCGGGACCCCAGAACGTTTGGTTGTGTTTAAGAATTCAGTAGTATGTATATCACCAACCATAGTATAGGTCAAATCTGATTGGCAAATACTATCAGCACTATAGTACACATGTTCTTCAGATGTATTTTTTGACATCATGTATTTGTTGACTGCTTCAACAACTTCCAACGTTGGTGCTAATATAGCACGTTCCTCAAGTACAGAATTATCAAGAAGGCCACCAGTTGAAGGATATATTTCGTTGACAATTGCTTGAATTGGGTCATTATTATGTTGGACCAAAAGATCAGAAGGAATTTCAATATCAACTATGCCATCGTTAGGACCACCAGCCTTACCATCAACAATACTTGCGATCCAATTGGTAAATTGTTGGAGCTCCAATGAATGATGTATAGAATCTTTGGAAATACGCATATTTTTGGTAAGTTTAAGGACTTTGCAATCGCTCCATAGGTAAGATGAATTAATTGTTGCATGAACTATGTCTTGTCTTGTCCCCTTAGGAACAACAGGTAATATTTGCCTAAAATCTCCACCAAAACGATTGTTTTGCCACCAAAAGGTTTAAACTTATTCTCAACATTTATCACACGTAAAATATCCCGTAAACTCCTATCCAAGGCTTCAAAGCAATACCTGTGAGTCATTGGTGCTTCATCCCAAATTATAAGACTATTGATGATGAGCTTTGCTAGAGGAGTACATTGCTGAATGTTGCATGTTGACTCTTCATTAGGAGTTATAGGAATTCTAAAGCGTGAATGTGCAGTCCTTCCTCCAGGTAATAGTAGAGAAGCAATACCACTTGATGCAACATTTAAAATAATCTTTCTTTTTGAGCGCAATGCAGAAGACAATGTTTTCCACAAAAAAGTTTTTCCAGTTCCTCCATACCCATAAACAAAAAACATACCACCTTCATTGCTTTGAATGGCAGTCATAATTAAGGTGTACACGTAATTCTGCTCATCAGTCATTTGAGAGAATAGTCTTTGATGCTCTTCAATCATTTTTTCCCGATCATAGCACAATTCATCGTTAATAATTCTATCTTCGAATAATTGAAAGTATTGTGCTTCAGGGTATGGCATGGATTTGTAGTCACGCAAACTTTTGACATAACTACGTAACAAAGACTCTATCTCGGCAAGGGCATAGTTTTTGATCTCTGCCTCGGTAAGATGTAAATCTGTAAATATGAAATAAAGGAATAGATGATATTGCAGTTGCTTAGTTTTAAATGTTTTATACTTTAATTAAACTGAATATACTATACATACCTGGGTATTTGAGAGGTGTGTGTGATGCAAGTGTTAAAGGGCGTGTATTAATGTCTTAAGATTGACTGTGTATATGCATGTTCATTTTTTCAAAGATATTTTTTATGGTTAAATATTTTTATCCAGTCTGTTGATATGGCTGTTATATTAAATATCACAAGGGTATATACATTTTAAGTTCTATTCAATCAGGATTTCTGGCATAGGCGTTATTTTTAAATATTATAAAAAATTAGTTTGATTCGCAAGTAAATAAACGACTGAATTTTCTGTAGTTTTAAAATGCTGGAATGGATATTGATATCAATGATAGTTCAATTAGTGCAAACCAAAGGATTTGAAAAGTTTATATCTAAGAGTGGCGTACCTTTTTCATGGTGGTTATTTGTATTTATTCTGGAGGGGTGATGTTTTATTTTCTTGGTTCCTAAAATTTTGGCCGTCTGCATTCAAGAGCAAGTTTATGAAATGAGTCTTTTATTTCATGTAATTTTCATGGTATTACATGTTTTATTTGAATAACTTGGTTTAAGAACATGAAATATGTTATCATTTAGAATTTTTTTTCTAAGGTGGGTAGGGGGAACTTGATAATGAACAAAGATTTATTAATCCAAAATCAGAAGTTTAGATGGCATCATTATGTGCACTAATATCTGCATTAAAATGAAGTATACAGTCGGCGGCATATACAGAGCATGATGCTGTTTTTGGAAAGCTAAATACAAGTTCTTTTTAATTTAAAGGCACATATTACATACATATCAATAGTAACTAAAGCAAACTTCTCAAACAGAAGTGTCATTTTTTAAAATAGAAACATAAACATATTATATACTGGTGAGGATGTTTTTATGTATTCATTCTTTCTCAAACTTGATACTGACTTTGGGCTTCTTTTTCAAGTGAGTTGCTTGATCTTCATATTCCATGTTGAGGTCTCTCTTCAGAATAGTGTTAGGAGTACTTGTGCTTGCTTTACTGCCTTGGTTATTAACATTAGCTTCATAGGGGAATGTTTCTGATCCCACCAAGTCAATAGGTTCAGCGATGGATTTGTGTGGTTTACTTGTAACAGATCCCTAAATTTTAAATAACAAAAATTAGTACATGTTTCGTTTAAATTAATTGTAAAAGCAGGCATACCTGTGTGGTAGAGCTATCAATTTGGAAACGGTCCAAGACTTCTTTGTCTTTGATAATCTGATTCACTGAATACTGTTTTTGATTGAAAGTGGAACCTGTTCTTTTCACTTCCAGTTCAATCAAAAGTGGCTTATACATGATGGAATTAAACTCCTGGGGAATTTCTGTGTCATCACCCTGAAAAGAGTTATATAATCATCAGGATATTAACAGCAATAGTGTGTTCACAAAAACTTGACCCTTTTGTGGGTACATGGTAGCATAAGGCCATACGCTGTCATGTAAGTAATCTCCTGCATGCCTTCCAAAAAGGGGTATACATTGCTTATCCCATAAGGTCAAAGTGAGGCTGTTTGTTTCATCTACAACACGTACTTGCAACCGGTACCTGTATGGTTAATTCAAAGCATAAAACAGTTATTTAAACGCTTTTAGTTAAGGTTAAATTTCTTACTCTGTAAAACATCAAATATATATAGCTACCTGAGAACAAAGCCATCTAGGTTACAGTCTGCACAAAAGCTGATTCCATTTGTAGGTATCACCTTCTTGTAACACTTTTTGCAGGAGGTATAGCACCATGATCCATAGTGTGCAAAGGCAACAATTTTACACAGTATCCAAACACGCCCTTTCTGTGAAACAAAACAGTTAAGTTATATACGAAGTAATTACTAAGTAGTTTTTTTAAGGCATAAATTGTGAAACAGACAACATTTTTTTCAATGCAAATTAAATTGAAAATGAAAATTCTTTATTTGCTTAAGTTTCCAAATTATTATTTTTAAAACAGAATTAAAAAATATACTGACATATACATAAGACTGCTCATAAACGCACCGGCTATGTATTGAATTTTTTTTAAATTCTTATTGGGGGTTTATGCTATAAAGTGGCATGATGTAAACAGATAAACCTCAAAATCTTCACAAACTTCTTCCAAAGTCTTTACATCAAACTGTGACGGCATTGATTTCAATGTAGAAGCACTTAAGCTGAGAACTTCATGTGAAGTAACACCCCGTTCCAATAACCTATAGTTTTTTCAATGAGCATTTGGCCTAAATTTATACAGATTGTTAATAACTTATGAAGTTTAGATACTCACTTCTTCTTGAACTCCAAGATGGGTGGGAATTTTCGATCAAGAATTAGTTTAGTAACATCAAAGAAGGTCATTGCTTTGTTCTTCCCTGCATATGAAAAAATGAACACGGTTTTTTAATAATAGAAATACAAAGATGTAGGTTATACCATGATAAACTGTTCCTTTGCAAAGGTGCATGATTGCCACAATTGGATGCAGTGGTTTTTGTTTCAAAAACTCCAACATTTGATCCGAACTCCAAAGCGTACAATGGAGTCTCTCGCCACTGCATTGGAGTTTGATTTTGGTACTTATTGTATAAAAGAACAAATAAAAACCAATATGAAAAAATATTCTAAGTTTGCTCTAAATCCTCAAGAAATATATCCATGACTCGGATGTCTGCGCCGCTGTTTCCAATTCTTGTGTTTGGAGGTTGATCAACATGTAGTAAACCAATGAGATCTATAGATGCATTAGGAATTTTGTTACTAAACATATAAATAAATCTAACAATAAATTGAGTAGGTTCAAATTAAGGTTGTACAGTATTACCAAACATGATACGACTTGAAATATCATAAGCATTGTTCAGTTCTTTGAAACTGTCAAATTTGAAAACAGTTTGGGGGAAACTTTCATCCTTGAGAGTTGGAACCGGTTGTCAGTCAAAAGTTGAGTATTCTTTGAGACAATAGGGTTTTCTATCCCATGTAAGTGCCCTTCCTTTAGCAAAGGCACAAAGTGTGGTATCAACGGCTTCTCACAAAAGGCATGTATGCGATTACCCTATGGACAAAAATGAACATTAAAACTGTATTTAGAACTGTACACAGGAATAACATCGTAAATAATCTTTTGAATTTGAGAGTCATGAATACCTTGTCATCTTGAAAGATTGCCTCATGCCCATAGGCCGTTGTTTGTGTGCTATTTCTTGTCTTTAAATCGTAATGACGCAAAAGCCTCAATTTCACAGCATCTTGATGTCTTGCAGGATTTGAGCCTGTTGAGGGGAGCCCAATTTGGTGACATGTTTAATGCTTGAAGAAGTGAATCGTAGGGAAAGAAGTTAGTAGGGACAGAGATATATAAATATATAATGCTGAGTAATGTGCAGTTTACGTGATTGAGTTCCAAAGAAGATGGGAAGTTACCAGACCGGTTTGCCCTATTTTTGTGGCGATTGGGAAAGATTGCATTTGGGGAGTTACCACGACAGTTTTTTTTTTGGAGAATTTAATAAAGTTAATCAATGGCTAGGATGCTGTTGATTATTCACAAATTGAAATTGGGCCACTGATTTTAATGTGTAGCGTGGATCTTTCCATGACTATTAATAATGAAATTGGGCCGTAGATATCTGATTTAGGCAGGGAAATTGGATTCTCAATTTGCATCCTTCTTTTATATATATAACTAGTACTTCACTCGTGCGATGCACGGGGAAAATAATTTTTTTTTAAATTTAAGACTTAATCTATAAGAAGGGAATAATAAAATCAATAACTAAACTCAAATTTAAATATAGAATTAATCTGAGACAATCATGAGAGAATTATTTGAGTTAATGAAAAATAAACTACCTCCATCTCAATTGACAGTTGACAAAGAAAAAATTGCGGAGTTAAAAGAAAAAGTAGAAATTCTTGATGATAAATCTATCTAATCATTAGGTAAAACAAAAGAATGATATTTTATGACATCACTGGATTATGAAGTCATCTCTTTTAATAAATTGGGTGTATGCATTACACATATTTAAAAAAATAACAAATAAATTAGCATACCATAAGATCCTATGACCCTATTTAGGTTTCCTCGAAATTTCAAGTGTGCCTGACCGTGAGTCAAGTTTATACTCTGGAATTTTTTCCCCAAATTTATAGTGACATTTGTGATATCCAATTGATAAGTGAGCAATACAGAGCACTCAAAGGGGTGATTATGTATGCTTGGACATAAACAATATTATATCTCATCTCATCAGTAAAAGAAATTATGTATCATTAGTCAAAGATACTAAAGCATCAATCGAAACACAGCTTAAAATATTTCAAAGGCTAAAATCCACCATTGGTCCTTCAACTTTATCAGTTGTGCATGATTGGTCCTTCAAGTTTCAAAAGTCCATAAATAATCCTTCAACTTTATGAGTTCTGCACTATTGGTTTTTCAATTTTCAAAAGTCCATAAGTAGTCTTTCAAGTACACGTAAGCCCTCCATATGAAGTTCTTTTGATAGTAAATATTAAAAGTTAAACGAAATACTAGTTTCATATAATACGAGTAAATTCACTAGGTACGACTACTCCGTATTATATGGAGCTAGGATTCCATTTAGCTTTTAACATTTACTGTCAAAAGCACCTCATCTGGAGGGCTGACATGTACTTGAAAGACTATTTATGCACTTTTAAAACTTGAAGGACTAATCGTGCATAACTCATAAAGTTGAAGGACTATTTATGGACTTTTAAAACTTGAAGGACCAATCGTGCACAATTGATAAAGTTGAAGGACCAACGATGGAGTTTAGCCTAAGCAAAATCCAGATTCACAATTTTGTTACCCAAAGATAAAAGTCGATACTGCAGCTATATATATGAAGGAAGAGAGCTTATTCGAGGGTGCACCAGAATCACTAAAATAAAAAATCATTCACTCTTTAAAACACCCAAACAACAAAAATATTCAGCAATATGAATGTAGAACATCTATGCAGTAGAATTATCACAAACAATGATACATTAATATCTTTAATCTATGGTAAGTATATGTTATTGTTTTTAGCTTTAAATGATATAGTAATATCTTGAATTATAAATTGTAGTATAATATTAAAGAATAACTTTTCACTCATTAGATACATAATTAGAGATTATCATGATAAAGTCAAACTTTTCATGTTTTAGCTTTAATTTAAATGATATAGTATCTCAAAGTAGCAAATGTAGCTTTTGTGTCACCAAAAAAACAACTCAATAAAAGAATTTTTGTACTACTACCATTCTAAGCAGGCTATCCCAAAAACATAAAAAGTTTCCAAAACTCAAAACACAAAAAAAATCATTATACACCCATATCAATTACATGAGAGGCCCCCAAAAAAATGGAGTGGATATAGTTTGAGTTCAACACTGACCCATATTTGCTGGAGAGAGCTACTGTCTCAGTGTGTAGGCCTAGGACTTGTGTTTTTGCCAACACTCCTTCCTCTATGTCAATGACACAGGGCAGTGTGCCCTCCTTTCCTCACATTTTGTGGCCATGTGAGGGACCTTATAGTTGTTGCCTCCTTACACCTTCATTATTTTCTGAATGGAGTGTTGGTAGCTCAGCCACACCTTGTTCATAGTGCGCGTCCAGTCGGTTGCCCATATGCATTCTCTAGAACCTCAATCAAGTCAGCCTCACTCTTTGGAGCTGATCTGTCTGATGCTGACTGGATAGTTATAGAGAATTGCAGGTCTAGGATGTTCAAATCAGGGGAGTTGGGGATTGTTGGGCTAGTGTAATGTTAAGCCCATTTGGTGTCCCAGCTGACACAAAGTTTAAGTTAGTGTTTAGCAATATGGGGTATAACATTGTCTTGTTGGATCACAATGTCTCTGCCCCTAAATGTTGGCAATTTCTCTTTGATTGTGGGTATGACTTGTTTGATTAAATTGGCTTTGCTAACCTCTTTATTGACACTGCCTATAGGTTTAACCTCCAACACCCCTGCTTCTCAGTTTTTATTCCTTTTGGCTGGGATTGTTTTTGTTAATGGGTATATTCCCAGTTTCTCATCCCATGAAAACTCAACCTGGTCAAAAAATACAGGTCTACACACAACACACAAAAACATAACTTTGGTTTTGAATCTCTTTGACTTACATGTCCTATGAGGATATTTCTCGTTTAGACCCATTTAGTACCTTCGAGATGGCTGTCATGTTGAACCACTTCTCATCTATGTGAATGACATTCTCAAAAGATTTAAACGTGGGCCGTTCGGGGTTGTGTGGAATAAATTGGAAGTGTACCTCTGAACCAAATAAAATCACATGCTTCAATATAATTCAGTACTGATGGGGCAATTAACATCATAATAATTTTAAATATCAATTTTTTTGAGATAAACTTTTACACAAATCTAAGGGAAAATATAGCAATTTGAACCTAAGCAGAAAAGTAGTTTTCATAAGTCATCCCAAACAGGCACTAAGAATCGGTTCTTTATAGCAGAGAACATTGAAAGATAAGCGACGTATTTGTGCTTCAGGAATGTACTTACCATGGCAGAATCTACTCGCAGAATGGAGTAAGATCGATTTTGAAACACATCCCTGACTCTGCACTCCAACGGGTTCAACCCCTCCTTCAGCGCGCCAAAGACGACCCTAACCTCATCCACTATTTTCCTCACCTCTCCCTCCTTCTCCTCACTCAGAGGAAAGCGACGAACATATTTCTCAATCTCATGAATCTCATTCTAATAGCCCGCAAGCATTTCTCCTGTCCTTCTTTGCTGAGGCAGCAGGTTGAAGAGCATTGTAGAGAGAAACTAAAGCAAGCCCAATAATCTTATTGCACCATGCCAGGAGTCCATAGTTAAGCGCGGATGCAATAACTACTTTGCAAATGAAACAGAGTGATTAGACTGCAATGCCTAGAAAAAGAGTATTTTCAGCGTTGCACGATTAATAATGACATGGAAGAATATCATGACATCGTTTAAAGAATATAGATTCTCTCTAAAATTTAACCTTTAAAGGTTCACTTTGCCTAAGAAAATCAACATCAAAGTGAATGCAACTTTATTATTTTGTTTATGTTCTAAACTGTCAGTTTCATAAATTTGGAAGCACCAAGATCATGAAAGAGTATTTCTAATACATAATGAGTTTCACCCGTGCATTGAAACTAAATTAGGGGCTGAATTATTGTTATCTCAAGAAAAAGTTAAAACTTCTGTGAGTCATTGTGAAAGTGAAATTGAATATGGTTTGGAGTTTGTTTTCAAGGATCATGATGAGTTCCAAAGCTATGAAACTGACAGTTTAGAACATAATCAAAATAATAAAGTTGGCATTCACTTTGATGTTGATAAGGAGAGCTCCCTTGAACTTGAAAAGGAACAAACTGAAGGTAAACAAACTGAATTTGATGTTTTGACATCTTAATATTTCATTCAAACTTATAGTACTACCTTTGAGAGAAACTTGAATTCGGGGCTGATGTTAGGATTTTAATGTTGAAAAGGCATAACAAAAGAGTTGGATAGTTCTGAAAAATTACTTCAAGATGTATGCCCCTCTTGCTTTGACATTGCCACAATCCTTGCATCCCCATATATCGACAACCTTTCTCTTCACTGCACACTGCACCCACATTGGATAAAGAATTTTGGTTTCATTGGCTTTCTCTTCCATTTCTTAGCATTTTTCTTTCTTCCATAAATCCTCAAGCCAACCATATTGTTAATAATGTGAAATGTGTAAAGCATATGGGCACATACCTTCCCACAAAACTCACAGTTGTACTTCATATGCTGGCTAATATCCATCTTTTTAATATTGAATTAATTCAATTTTTTCCTTACTATTGTAATCAATTTTTTCCTTACTATTGTTATCAATTTCCAGTTTTTCTAATACATAATAGGTTTCACTTTGAGAATCAGCCACAAAAGTTCTAAATTTTTTTTTGAGATAATAATAATTCATCCCCTAATTTGGATTCTTTTCAAAACTTAGCTTTTAAAGGTTCACTTTGCCTAAGAAAATCAAGTTTTAATTCAGATTTCTTTAAAAAAAAAATCAGTCTCTAAAACTTTTGTTTTCTTTTGAAAATAAATTTCATTGAAAATCAGCCCCTAGAGCTTCAGGTTTATCTCGAAAATCAACTCTTAAAATCCTAAAATCAGCCCCGAATGCAAATTTCTCTCAAAGGTAGTTCTCAAAGTTTCATTTTGGGGTTCAAATTCTTATTCCAAGTCTTAATCATATACATGAAAAATTATCCCATCAAACACATTATGTGCATTTAATTTTAAATTCAAGAAACTATAAACATCAAATTTAATTCAATTTTGGCTCACCCCTTAGATCTACATCCACCAATGTCTAGTTCATAAGCGGCGCTGCCCAGCTTAAAGATCTTTTGAAGGAAGTTCAATGTTGCGAGGGTAGCTGCCATTGCTAGGTTTGCTGTCGCCTCCCTGCTTAAATCTTCCAACAATCAAGTAAATTGATTAAATCTTTTTAAGAGAGCAAGGATTTAATTTTCCACTGTCACAAAATTAATTTGTTTCTTTGATGCAAATTCACACACATATCACACTACTATGAAAAGAATAATTAGGTACTCTTAAAGTTATACTTTCACACATCACAGTGGCCGAAAAGAGTGAAAACAAATAAGTGCTCCCTTCATCTCATGGAAACAAGCTTTTATAGTCTTACCCCTATAGAAACAAAAAATCTGCATAAAAAGACACATCAAAAAAGTATCATTCTTATCACAAACCATCAGACATATTCTCTGCCCAAACATAACTGAAATAGCATGAGACATGCTAACACATTATGTACTCTGTTTTTTTTTAAATAGAAGATTTAGTAATATTTATTCAAATTATTGAGTATAACAGCATCCACAATTATCAAAAGAAATGCAACAGAAATCTATGCAGGCGTAGAAAATCAAATGCAAATGGGCAAAAAAAAGGGGCAAAGGAGCACCATTGAAGAACCGATCGATCAAAACCGAACATAACAAAAAAAGAAGAGGAATACCTTCTTTTCTCCAAGGAAGTTTCGGATCTCAATTGAGTTTTTTCGTCGGTGATGGAGGCATTGATGGGAAAGTGGGGTAGAAGAAGCACATCTTGTACCGGAAGCCAATTGTGACGCCGGTGCTTGGTTCTCAAAGATCAGCTGGAAATAAACTAAGGTCAAGTAGTCTTGCAAGTGGTTAACAAATAATAGAAGAGGAGTAATATATATTACTTCCATAACTAAGCAAGTTCTTCGAAAATGCATGCAAATGGATATCACACTCTGTTTTTAACCTCGTGCCTCTTTATTGCTTCCGATGCCACCATATCAACTCTTTAAAATGTTTTAACTGTTTCTTAACTGCTATTTAAAGCCATACTAAAGGTCACATAGGTTACTATGTAACTGATAAAGAGGCAGATGAACCTGCTGTTTTCACAGGATATACTCTGGTAAGTGTGAGGTCGGTCACCATTAAAATTAGACATAACAGTTGATGATATCTTGTACGAAAATATTACTAAGAACAGATGTAAGATTTCATAATTTTAATTTATTTGTATTTGCAGTTTTGCTAAATGCTAATTCATGCATTATTGATCCAAATGGCCATATTTTAGTTTCCCACAATTATGTTTTGTTCCTCCTAGGTTTCTATAGACTAAATTTCATACTCTCCTTTTACTAACTGGGTCGGAATCCTGATCTCTCTATAGTTCATAGCAGGTTGTGGTAAGTTTTTTGAGGGCATTGCAAAACAAATGTATCAGTCACTTTGTGCATGCATTCAGGATATGACAAATGAGCACAAAAAATATAAAGTCCAACATATATGCTTCTTGATAATAAGTTCTGCAAAAACCATAACCTGCCTATATGCCAAGAAATGTCTCTAGGAATCTATCAGGTAGAATCCATCATCAAGCAAATCCCTCACTGCATCTTCTGTTGGTCCAAATCGATATACACATTCATTGAGAACAAATTTTTTATCTTTTATAGTTGCAAGTGAAGTCTTTATTGCATTTCTTTCATAGGAAGAATGGAGCCACTGTAACTCCAGTGCTTCATCTTTATCAAGACAATGATAATTAAAAATACTCCATAGCAATGAATTAAAATCTCATAAATCTTCCAACACACAAACAAATAGTCAAAAGAAGACCCAGTATAACCCATACATAGTTGGAATCTGATATTTCAAGATGTAACCTTACCATTGTAAAAACAAACAATAAAAACCGGCACAATTGACATAAACGTATCATTCGACCCCCATAAGGCCCAACGTCCTAGTTGGTCACGGCCACCACTCCGAGTTGGCTCTGATACCATTGATACAACACAAGGGAGAGCCACACTCTAAAACGGAGAACCCTTGACTATATAAACCCATCACCGGTGTGGGACAATGAAATCCGTCCGTATCAAATTTGCCCTACGAATTGCACAGATGAGACCGACTCCATCCTCGCACACTTGATCGAGGGAGTCATACAGATCGTGTGTACCAGCCGCGGGATAGAGAGATGGAAACCGCAGAAAGTCCTTCTCCCAGGAGAAATCAGCGGCCAGACTTATATAAAAGGTTAAATTACTGAACTGGAAAGTTTCACCTTCGAATATGTCGTGTAACTTCCTCCGTGCTCAATGCTATGGAACTGAAAGTCTCTGAAAAAAATCAGCAACCTTTGGGCAACGTTTGCAAAGCCTGTTCTCAAGGTGATCGTGGAGACTTAAGAAAGCCTAGAGACTGAGCTTTGATACCAAATGTTATACCCGAACCGGGGTCTAAACGAGTTGCTATTTTGATGAGGAATCAAGGAATGATTCAGCTTTGATTTCAGGGTCCTGGAGCAGGAGATAATCGATTTACACACAGTGACAATCCTATCCTATATACTACCTCCGTCCCATTGTCTTTGTCCACATTTGACTTTTGGAACTGTTCATCTAAGTACTTTGACTCATCAAATTCTCTTAATGTGTAATCCTAAAAATAGTCATGTGTGATCTTGTTTGATTCGTCTTAACATATAGATTATTATAATATAATTTGTATAATTTTTTAATATACAAATTACAAGATAAAATGGATTAAAGAAGTGCATTGGATAGTGTGCCAAAAGGTAAGTGGACAAACACAGTGGGACGGAGGGAGTATATATCTAAAAGAGGGTTTCGAAGTTGTGGTGACGACACGTATCATGCCACACGTGCATACTAATGACACGTGTCCCGCCATGCGTATATCACATGACACATGTACGTCCATCCATGCATGTGAGTTAATTTTGTATTAAATAATCCGTATTTTTATTTTTTTATAAACTCTTCACTTTCCAACAATAAAAAACTATTATTTTTATTAACTTTTTATAAACTCTTCACTTTCTGACTATGTTAAAACCAATTTATTGTTTTGACGTATCTTAAAAATATATGCACGATTATTTTATAATTTTAGAAAACTTATGTATATAATTTATTGATTAAAAAGATGTTGCTTATAATTTTTAAAATTATCCATCATATAAAAAAAAACTAATTACATATAAATTTTATCACACGTGCATCTTTATTAAATTTATAACATATTTTAGTTGTTTTTCTTATTACATTACTTATTTTACTATATTTTTTTTAGCAAACTAAACAAAGTAAAAATTTAATTGAAGGATTACATGTGGCACATACAAATATGCATTATCTAATAATGTGACATTCCTTAATTGATCTATTCGAGATTTTTATATTAATTTTTATTAATTAAAACAATTTTCATTATTATTTTATTTGATGACCATTAATTTTGCATAAAATGTTTATGTCATGGAGGCACTACACCTCCCCACATGTCATGTGGCACATGTATATATTTATTATTATTAAATTTTTATAAAAACTTCACTTTCTTACATTAAATAACTTATATTAAATTTTTATAAATCCTTCACTTTCTTACACTAAATAAGCATTACTGTTGAACAAAAAGAAAATTATTGTTATCAAATTTTCAAAATAGTATTATAATTTTTTTTATGAAATATAAATAATTATTAAATACAAATTTATTTCAAACTTTTTATCCTATTACATACTACAAATAAAAGAATCC